CGTGGTAGTCGGTGAAGCAGGGCCCGTGGGGCAGAAACGAGTCGGGCTGAGCCCCCCGCCCCGTGCTGGCGGCTCCCCCCCGCCCGATGCTGCCTGCCCCCACCCAACCCCGGCCTGCGGTCCTCTTCAGGGCCAGCCCGGGGACCCGGCCACTGCTGGCAGAGCTGTCACGACACGGGGAAATCGCTGGGAAAGCATCCACCTGGCAGCCACCCTCAGCGCCCCGAGGAACAGCGGGTGCGAGTCTGCAGCCTTCTTTCTGGTCCTTGTCCCCCACTGCGCCCAGACTGTCCCCTTCCGGGAAGTGGCCGGTGGCCTCCTGACCCAAACACGACGTGCCGGGTGGCCCTGTCTCCCCAGGAATCGGGAACCGGGCAAAGCTCCCGAGGGCTCGGCTGGGCGCTCCCTGCGGCCATGTGGGAGAGGTCTAGCGCTCGCTCAGGGACACGAAGGGCAGGGGACGCGCCCTGGGTGGGAGCTCAGGGGCCCTGGGACTTAGTCTCGGCGTCACCGCCAGATGCTACAGGGCCTGAGCAAACCAGCCCCCTCGCTGCGCCTCAGTTTCCTCAGAGGGAAGCACAGGGTTTGGAGCCTGGGGCCCGTGACCCTTGCACCTGTGACATCACAAGCCCTGGGCAAGCAGAGGGTGAATTTCAAAAATAAAGGCAAAAAAAAACAAAACAAAACCAAACAAAAAAACCCCAAGCATCCAGAGAAAAGAGGTTACCTTCAAAGGCACGAAACTCAGGGCGGCCTCGGGCTCGGCACCTCAACGGGCAGCAGAAGGCAAACCAGGCCGCGGTCGTGCGCCAGCCACGGCAACGCCCCCTCATCTGCAGGGGCCCCCAAAACAGATCATCCACGCACCCCGTTTTGAAAAAGATATTTGAAGGGTCCCTGGAGGGCTCCATTGGTCAAGCTTCTGACTGTTGACTTCGGCTCAGGGCATGATCTCAGGGTTTGTGGGTTCGAGCCCCGGGTCTGGCTCTGCTGACAGTACGGAACCGACTTAGGATTCTGCCCCTCCCTCTCTCTGCCCTTCCCTCCCCTGCTCTCTCTCTCTCTCTCTCTCAAAATAAATAATTTTAAAACACTTTAAAAAAAAAAAAAAAGAAAGAGAAAGACATCTGAAGGCACACTGACTATCTGGAGAGGAATTAAAATACCAAATTTAAAAATGGGTAAGTTGAGGCATCATGAAAGGGCCAAAGTGAGCAGTAAACCCGTGAAGTCGCAAAAATAAATTCTTGTTATAAACGCGTTTTAAAACGGGATGTTAACCACCTGTGGGAACTCCCGAGCAGGCAGCTCTCATCTACGGCCGGAGAAGTCGATGGCGCAGCTATTCGGGGGCGAATAACGTCGCTGTGGGTGAAAACCTGCTGAGCCCACACCTGGGATCAGCACCGTTCCGGTGGGTGCCACGCGGCTTCACTCCCGTGCGGAGCCCACGCCACAGAGCAAACAGAAGGCATAAACAGACCCATAAACGCAGAGACCAACGTGACGGTTGCAGGGGGGTGGGGAGGAGGGGCAAGGGGTGGGAGGCACAGGCTTCAAGCTGGGGAATGAATGAGCCGCGGCGGGGGGGGCTGTAACGACCAGGGTGCTCAATCGCTACATTCTACACCTGAAGCTACCGCAACACTGCGTCAACTATACTTCAATAAAAATACTTTAACTTTATTTTGAGAGAGAGAGGGGCAGCACCAGTGGGGGAGGGGCAGAGAGAGACAGAGAACCTCCAGCAGGCTCCACGCGGTCAGCGCAGAGCTCGACGCAGGGCTCGAGCTCAGGAACCGAGATCATGACCTGAGCCAACATCAGGTCTGACGCTTCGCTGGCTGAGCCCCCCAGGCGCCCCTGCGTGTCTTTCGTCAGACCCATCCCTAACTCCTTCCCGTTTCTACGCTATGGTGATTGGCATTATTTATTTTGATTTTTGTCATTCACTGCTAATAAATAGTAACACGATTGATTTTGATGACTTGACCTTGAATCCTACAATCTTGTTGAACTCACGTATCAATTCTACAGCTTTCTTTTTAAATTTTTTTAAATGTTTTTTTTTTATTTATTTCTAGGAGAGAGAGAGAGACAGCGTGAGCAGGGGAGGGTCAGAGAGAGAGGGAGTCACAGACTGAAACAGGCTCCAGGCTCTGAGCTGGCCGTCAGCACAGAGCCCGACGCGGGGCCCGAACCCACAAACCGCGAGATCATGACCTGAGCGAAAGTCGGACGCTTAACCAAGCCACCCAGGCGCCCCTCTTTTTAAATTTTTAATGTTTATTTATTTTTGAAAGAGAGACAGACACAGTGTGAGCAGGGGAGGGGGAGAGAGGGAGACACAGAATCTGAAACAGGCTCCAGGCTCTGAGCTGTCAGCACAGAGCCCGACACGGGGCTTGAACCCACGAACCGTGAGATCATGACCTGAGCTGAAGTCAGACGCTTAACCGACTGAGACCCCAGGCGCCCCTCAATCCTACAAGCTTTCTTGGGGACTGTATCAAATCTTCTGCACAGACGACCCTCCATCTAGGGAGGAAGGCAGGTTTACTTCTTCCTCTTACGGCACTTACGGCACCACACGGCCTGGAAACCCCACCAGCACCGTGAGGACAGGTGCACACAGGGGCCATCCTTGCCCGTTCTGTCGTGGGGAAGCAGTCAGCTGTTCAAGCAGGGCAGATGCCACCACTGAAGTGGCTGACACTGAAGACCAGCCACCCACTTACTGGTGAGGATGTGACCCAGCCGGCTGTGACCCGGTGCCGGCAGGCATGTGACACAGCCCCTCGGAGACCAGTGCGGCCGCTTCCTAGGCAGCTAAGGAGCTGTGCGCCCAGTGAAGGTGCGTGTCCACAGACCCCATCCCTGAATGCTCCCAGGCTTTGCCTGTCACGTCCAAACACTGGAACCCACCGAATGTCCACCAACAGTGAAGGTACCAGTGACAGACGGGATGAACTACTGAAATGTGCAGTCATGAGGATGGATCTCAAGATAACTACCCTGAGTGATTTATTTATGTAAAATTACTGAAAATGCAAACCAATCAGTAGAAACAGAAAGCAGATCCACGGTGGCCTGGGGCTGAGGTGACACGGATGTCTGCTGTGACGGGGGGACAGTGTCGCTGGTGTACACAAATGTCAAAACTTGTCAAACTACTCTGTATTTATTATTTTTAATTTTTATTTTTGAGGGAGACCAAGCATGAGCAGGGGAGGGGCAGAGAGGGAGACACAGAATCTGAAACAGGCTCCAGGCTCTGAGCTGTCAGCACAGAGCCCAACGCGGGGCTCGAACCCACGAACCGTGAGATCATGACCTGAGCCGAAGTCAGGTGCTCACTGGCTAAGCCACCAGGTGCCCCAAACTGTACACTTCAAATAGGTGCAGTTACCACAGACCAGTTATATCTCAAAAGCTGTTTAGAAATGGATAAAATAAAATTTTAAGAGAATGTTATTGCTACAGACCATTATTAAAACAACATATACTGGGGGCGCCTGGATGGCTCAGTCAGTTAGGCGTCCGACTTCGGCTCAGATCATGATCTCAGTTTGTGGGTTCGAGCCCCACGTCGGGCTGTCTGCTGTCAGTGCAGAGCCTGGAGCTGCTTCAGATCCTCTTCCCCCTCTTTCTCTGCCCCTCCCCCATTTGTGCACACGCGCTCACTCTCTTCTCTCTCAAAATAAATAGACTTAAAAAAATAAAAAATAGCATCTAGAGTCACCAGCGCGGTCACGTGGAGCACGGACGCTTATATGTCGTGTGCAGGTCATGTCTCAAAAGGCTGGGGGGGCAAAGACCAACCCGCGGTCCCTTCCCTGGTGCCACACGAGCCAGGCGCAGGCCGTCCCAAGCCCCAAACGCCCCGTGTGCGGGCAGGGCCGCTGCCATTGGTGGAGGGGCACCGGGCTCCCGCACGCTGAGGGCCGCTGGCCTGGCAGCCGGAGAAAAGGGCTTCCGGGCACAGGCGTGGGGGACAGACACGCTGGCCCCTGGGGGCCTCCATGGGGCCCTCGCATGGCTCCTGGTTCAAGGGGACTGAGGACACCGGCCTCTGGGTGACAGACGGCGGCCCCAGAAACACGGGCTGTCACGTGACCACCAAGGTCGCAGCTGCCAGACCAGCACCGATCCGGTTCACAGTGTCAACACCTTCTGCTCCTCCTCTGTTCCTTCCACGGGCGCTCTGCTTCCCGGCGGAGACTTTACGGCACAGGGTGCCCGGGGGGCGCTCCGTAATGGAAACTCGTCCCCGCCATCACCGGGCCAGGCGCTGGGGACACAGGTAAGCAGGCACAGGCTCGTTCCTCGGGTCCCCCGGCTGCACCCCCAGATCTGAGGCCGGCGCCACGAGACACGTGCGGGCCCTCGAGGGGCGGAGGCTGGGACTGCACGACAGCCTGCCCCTCGTCCCTCGCCCCCCCTGCCCCGGGCACTGCCGCCACTGTCTGGAGACCCCCTGGGAGTCCCCCCCTTCCGAACAACCTGTCACGGAAATGACCACGAGTCACTGGGGCCGAGTCACCGGGAGGTTCCCTCTGGGTTACAGACCCGGGACACACGTGGCACCGTCAGGGTGGGGGCGGGGGCTCCCACGCAGCCTCTGCCGGCAGCTCCGAGGGCCCCAAGGGCCCGTCTCTGCGCTGGAAAGGGGCCCCGTGCCGGCTCGGGGCGGCCCAGCGGCTGGAACGGAGGCTCCCGGGGGTGAGGAAGCATGTACCGCAGGGCACACTCACACGCCCACCCTCCCGGCGCGGCCCTGGGAACACGGTCACGACTGCCACACGGACGTGGCCGGCCAGGAGCTTCCCTTCCAGTGAGACTCGGAAGGGGGACACGGAGGCGCCCACGGCGGTGTGTGCGAGGGGGCAGCACAGGGCTGGGTGCCCGGGGAGGCCGGGGCTGCGGGGCCCACAGCCACCGGGACAGGCCTGGCCCCCCACAGGCCGTGCTGCATGCAGGCAACGGGAGACGTGGGCTCTGACTGTGCTCCGAGGTGGTTTATTAGGACCCACAGTGGGGAGCCCGGGCTGCTGCCCGAACGCGGGGCTGAGCGCGTCCCCACGGGGGAGCAGGCTCGCCGGCCTGCACCCAGGACCCGGCTCTAGCACAGCCAGGCTCCGCCCTAGAGGCAGGGCTGTCCCCTCCACAAAGAAATGGGGCCCCCAGGGGTGTCTTGACTTACGTGGCACCTGCCAGCCCCCCAGAAACGGGCCCCGGGCCCCCTGCCTCTCCCCACGAGCACGGCAGGGGCACCCGGAGGCCGCGCTACAGTCTGGAGCGGACGAAGTCCACCAGGCGCCGCAGCTGCTCCTCCAGGGACCCCGCGTCCCCGTGGTTCTCCACGACCCAGTCGAAGCCCTCCATGTGGTCCAGGCCACACTCCGACTCCGCGTCGTCCACCCCTGTGCAGGAAGCAAGGCGAGGTCAGGCCCTGTCCGTCTGGGCCCGCAGGCCCCAGAGGAGCCCCCCACCGGCCCCCCAGCCTCCCCTCTGTCCCCGGGAGCCACACTGGCCACCACCCACAGACGGCGCATGCGTCTCCTGAAACCAGACAAGCCAGAAGGGCAGCCGGTGTCGGCTCCACGCCCACGCCGGACTCCGTCCTCTGGGAGGCGGTGTGAGCGACTCTCTGGCGGGACGGCTGCCAGGCAAGCTGGCCGTGACCGCAGGAGAGCGCGGGTGCGACGCACCAACGCCCAGGAGGCGGCAGCGTCAGGAGGGGCGCCCACGGGGCCTGAGGTCCCTGCTCACGGGACCTCAGGCTCAGCCGTGCGTCTGAACTGCCACAGGGCAGGTCCCGGGCTTGCACCACCGAGGCCGCCCCTTCCTCCCCACACAGACACCGCGGGCGGACGGCCTCTGACCCAGCGGCCGGCAGGCGGAGCTGAAGGCCCCGGGGCTGGGTCGCAGCCAAACCCCGCAAGGCCCGCCGGCCTGGAGAGGACAGTGTGGGGAAGGGCAGCAGCCCCAGGTCGCGGGGGACCTTTAGCCCTGAGGACGCCCTCCCCCACGTTCTAATCTGGGGACAGTCCCGAGCTGCAGGCCCCAGGTCCCCTGTCACGGCTCCTTGCTCACGCCCCCATGGCCTGCGAGCAAGAGGGCAGGAGACCCAGGCCGGGGAGGCGGGGGCCGGGGTCCACGGCGGGGCGGCCAGCCTGCGTGCCCACCCTCGGGGTGAAGGCCGCGCGCAGCTCACCTGGGATGAACACCCAGCCCCGCTGCCGGCGGCTCTGCTCGGAGGCCACCACGCGGACCGTGTGCGTCAGGGCCCCGTAGGCCTCCCGGAACCACTGGACGTCCGACGGCCTCCGTGTGTCACTCACCAGCTGCAGGGAAGAGACACGGGCAGGTGGCCAACAGGGCGCGGTGCGGCGGGACGGGCCCCACCCGGAATAAGCAGGCGGGGGGCCGGGAGGGGCTACGGGGCGGGACAGCTGTCGCCCCCTTCCCCAAGCTCAGCCACTGTACCCCTCCCTGCGGGCAGCCCTCCCTGGCCACTGCAGCCCACAGCCCGCTCTGCCCACACGTGTCTGCGTCCACACACCACGTACGTGGCCGCTGCTGAGCTGAAGACGAGGCCTCAGGCTTTGAGGCCAGAGCAGCAGGTCCAAACATACTCATTTTACAGACGAACAGACTGAGACCAGAAACAAAGATGCTCGATATGGTCTCTGCTCACCAGGACTTCTCAGAACCCAAGTCTGACTGTTGGGCCAGGTCCCTCACCCCTCAAAGGGCCCCGTCATTCTACGACACAGATAGTGACAGGTGGAAGAGCAGTTTGCGCTCAGTGGCCCCCCCGCCCGCGGCGGCAAGGGGGACACAGGCACCCTCCAGAGCGCCAATTCCACAATCGAATCCGGGAACGGAGAGCCTGCTGTTCCGGCTCTGACGCTGACAGCGCACTCCGATTACGACAGTGGCACCGTGAACGCGGGTGTGCGGGTGCAGACAGGGTGGGGGTGAAGCGCCCAGGGCGCACCCCCTCAGGGCCCAGTCCAGCGGGGGGACAGGCAGCTTCCGGAACAGCAGCGTGATCAGCGCCCATCAGCGGGCACGTCAGGCTCAGCACGCCCACGACCGAGCTCCTGATCCCCCCACCCCTTTCCTGCTCAGCACAGTCCTGGAGCGCCTCCCGCCTCACACCCCACGGCCCCTTCCGGCAGCCACACCTCTCCCCTGCTCGGTCCCCCCGAAGCCTCACCTCCTGCCACATGCCCCCCACCCACAACCCCACTTGGCTCAGTCCCTCGCCTCCCGCAGGCCCTGCTCAGAGGCCGTGGAGTGGGGGAGCCTCCCGACACCCGGACAGGAGCCCCCCCCACAGGACACACCCTGTATCTGTTTAGGGCCTGACTCCCTGCAGCCCCGGTTACAATGTAAGCACCCCGAGGGCCTAATCACATTCTTGCACCAATCACCAGGAGCTGCCAGGTGCGAGGCAACAATACTGGCCACCAGAGGACGCAGGGAAGGGGTGAGAGGCTGTGGGGGCACCTGGGGGCATCACTTAGGCTCGAGTATCAGGGCAGGCTTCCTGGTGGAGGCGCCATGGCTGCAGGGAACCAGATGAGGACGGAAAGAAAGGGCAGTCCCGGCAGGCAGAACTGCACAAAGGCCCAGACTCCAGAAAGACCTTGATCTGTCCGGAGAAGGTGGGCGTAGCAACAGCCTAGGGCGCAGGAAGGCTGGCCAGGCAGCAGGACCGGGTCACACAAGGCCTAGAAGTTTCTGTGAAGGACTTCACTGTGGTGCATCGGAACAATGGGACAAAGGTTCTAAACAGAGGACTGACAAGCCTGGATTGTGGGCCGTTCTGGCTGCCGTGTGACAAATGGACCACAGGACGTGGCGGAGGCCAGGGTGGGGGCTGGGAGACCGCGGGAGCGCGGCGGCCAGAGGGGGCAGCGCAGACACGTGTGGAAACGGCCGAAGGCTGCCACCCAGCACACTCACCCAGACGGGCTGGGAGACGCCCTCCACCGCCTTCCTGCAGAAGAAGCCGGGGTCGGCCTGGCGCCTCTCCTCGCCCCAGCGGATCATGTCCCGCCGGAAGGTCTCCTTGTAGGCGCTGGCATCCAGGAGTCTCTCGAAGTCCAGGCCGTGCTCCTGCCCAAGGCACACACCCCGTCTCCACCACCAGCCCCACCGCACTGGTCCCTCCTGGGGGTGCCCGCGCCCCCACCCCTCCCCGGGGACCGATGGCTGCGGGGAAAGGGTGCTAGAAGCTAAGAAACCCCAGTGGGCAGCGACGGAAGGCAGGCCTGGGGGGTCCAGAAATGGGTTCGCTGTGACGCGTCAGCGGTTTCCTCTTCGGCAGCGGCTTAGCCTCCAACCAAAGTGGGAAATTTGAAAAGAACCCATCCCTCCTGGCCCCGTCCAGCCCCCACCCCCAGCCCAGGACACCTGCCTCCCGCCTCCCCTCCCCCCACCAAGCTCCTGGCACCTTCCATCCGGCTCCTGCTCGGACGGGCCTGGCCTCTCCTCCCCCGGGACACTGACAAGCAGGAGGGTCCATCCAGGGGCCCTGGGGCGGGACGGGGCTGGAGGTGGGTTGCAGCGCCCCTCCTAACTCAGTGCAGCTCAGCCCCGCCCTCCGGGCCGTCTCTCCCCCTGCAAACTGAAGGGCCGCGCCCTGCTCCAAGGTGAGGCCAGCAGCCACGAGCCACACACTCTCCAGCAGAGGGAGCCTGGCCACCAGGAGCGTTTGTTCTGCGTTTCCATTCGGTTTCCCGTTGCAACTTAAGAAACCCAACACTTTTGTTTCATTTTGGATTTTTGTTTTTTTATGTAGGCTCCACAGCCAACATGGGGCCTGAACTCACAACCCTGAGGTCAAAAGTTCCGTGCTCTTCCGACTGAGCCACCAGCCAGAAGCCAGTGGAATTGTTTTTTACTGGGAATATGAGATGGAGTGACCCAGGCCGGCCTAACCACTTCTTATGAGGTGGTAAAAATGCAAATTCCTGCCCAAGCCCACCCCCACCCCCACGCCCGGCTCACCAGGCTCTTGGCTCATAGGTCGGGAGCAGGGGCTGATCTAGAACTCTGAGGTGGATCGGTGGTTTTCAAACTGCTCCTCAGGACCCTGGGGTTCCCCAGAGGTGCCCAGGCCCCAGTGGGCATGCAGAGACCCCCCTCCTCTTCCCCCCGTCTTCCTGGCCTAGCTACTGGATACAAGGGACTTCCTCATCCAACTTCATTTGGGAAAGATTCCCACTAAAAAAATTTTAAGAGGCACCTGAAGCATCTGGCTCTGGATTTTGGCTCAGGTCATGATCTCATGGTTTGTGGGATCGAGCCCCATGTCTGGGCTCTGCTTGGGATTCTCTCTCTCTGCCCCTCCCCTGCTCACACTCTCTCAAAGTTAAAATAAATAAATGATTGATTTTAAAACCACTGCACCTGTTATCCCCAGGACCCCCAGGCTGCTACAATGCTACAGTGACCCCCCACCTCCCATAAACGGGTCTGCTTGGCTGACGGGAGAAAACCGAATAGCACAGGGGAATACTGCCATGGATACGGACTGATGCGTGGAAGGGAGGCCAGATTCATTCTGTGTGGCCCCAGAAGGCCAGACCCAGGCCAGCTGACCAAGGGGCCAGAAGCACAGGTCCCTGGACAGGTGCACCCAGAAGTCAAGGGCAGAAATCTAAGCAACGAGGGCTCCTCACTGCATGGGAAGCCGGTCTGACCCTCCAGGGTCTCTGTCTGAAAGCTAAGGCTCTAAAAGTTCCCATTTAGTTTTTACAATCCCTTTTCTTAAAAATACTTATTTTTGTAAGAGAAAGAGAGAGAACACGTGTGCGTGCAAGTGGGGGAGGAGCAGAGAGAGAAGGGGAACAGAGAATCCCAAGCAGGCTCTGAGCTGTCAGCATGGAGCCCCACATGGGACTCCAACTCACAAATCTTGAAATCATGACCTGACCTGAAAGTCGAACTGAGCCACCAAGGCGCCCCTACGATCCTTTTTTTTTTTTAATCCACATGGCCCAAACTTCAAGTTACATATTTGTTCACAGTGAAAAATCTCTGCTCCTCCCTGGAGGCACCCAGTGACCATCTCCCGTGTGTCCTGCCCTGGCCTCACACAGCCCCAGCACTTGCAACAGCGAATACAAGGAGGGCACCCCACAAATATTCACTAAGTGGCTGAACATATGTGCAAATATATTTATAACTCTTCTCCACTTGTATACAAATGGAGCATTCTCTATGCACAGGCACATTTCTACATCTTGCTTTTGTCACTTAACAATAATCTTGACAACTCAGGTGACCACATTTCTCAGGGGAGAATTCTGGACGCCGACGAATAACACAGCATCAGAGCGCACAGCTCGCGTCCACGGCATTTCCCGGATACTCTCTGGGGAAGTGGCCTGAACCAAGTGACAAGGTGAAAATGGCCCCAAACGGTCCAGCGGTGGTCGTGGAGACCCTGCTAGTGACAAGAGCTGGCTCCTTCCAACCCACCAGAGCTGCAGGCCCACCACGTACCTGGGCATACTGCTTCTTGAGCGGCCCGGACAGCCGCAGGACAGCGCACACGTCTGCTCCGAGTCTGAGGACAGGGGGAACCGAGCCCAGTTAGCCTGGTTTCCAGGAGAGAAGTCCAGGAGACTGAAGTCTCTCTTCTTCCTTTTTTTTTAAGTAGGCTCCACACCTGTCGTGGGCCTCGAACTCAGGACCCTGAGATCCACAGCCACAGGCTCTACCACCTGAGCCAGCCGGGGGCCCCTCTGCAATTGCACTTCAGCTACTAGTATCTGTGTAACCGTCGCGCCTTACCTTCCCGGATCCTAACTGTTCATCTATAAAGTGGGACAGCATTCTCTGTTCGGCCTCGTACAGGATTATTACAAAACTACTACAAAACTGGAATGTGGGAGTCTCGAACCTCACAGGCAGGACAAACGTTACAATTACGCTGCGTACGTCCGCCACTGGCAAAGTTCAGGCTCGATGAGGTCGCTGCTGCGCCCTTCAACTAGCTCTCACGGCCCGGGTATGTCAGCGAGCACGGACGTGGTCCATCACAACTGAATTCACTCATTCAGTTGTTCAACGGACTCAAGCAACCACCTGTTGGGCGCTGCGTCTGGACCCAGGTACCCCGTTCCTGCCCTGACCGTGAGCTGCTCGCAGATTCACTCAAACACCGACACAGCGAGACAGCTCTTCTTACTTCTGTGTTCAGACAAGGAAACGGAGGCAGGGAGAGAGCTGCCACACTCAAAACAACACAGCAAGTAACGAAGCCACTGTGGATACAGCGCTAACACCAGCCAGCATTTCCTCCCCGTGGCCGTACTCGATGGCAAGAACTGTTCCGAGCCCTTCACGGGCATGATCTCCTGGCATCCTTACAACCACCCGATCTTTACCCCCATTTCACGGATGACAAAACCGAAACACGGAGTGGGTAAGAATCCTGTGCAAGGTCCCAGGCAAACACGGGGGGGTCAGGCTGGAAGCCCGGCAGTCCAACTGCACAGACTGGTCCTGACCACGGCCTGACTCCTGTGTTAAGACCAAGGAGAAATGCAAGCAACAAAGGTGGTGGAACCCTGGTGCCGAGCAGAGGCGACCTCTGCCCCCGCCCCCACCCCCGCCTGCGCTCCCGCTTCTGCGCCTCCGGGTCCCCGTCCCGCACAACTGCCCGCCCACGGCGCTCAGGGGAAACACGGGGCGGCAGACACAGCAAGTGGACTCCCTCCTTGGAGCCAGACTCAAGCTGAATCTGAATCCTGGGTCCACGGATCCCTCTGTAGCCCCCCCACCTTTCAGGGCGTCCTCAGCTGCTAACCCCCCAACAGGGCATCTAACAAAGGGGTCTCGAGGCTCGACGGGACCGCGCACTGCGGACTCCACGACCCCCGACCACCGGGCGGCCGCCCCTGCAGCTGTCGACCGTCTGCTTCGCGACCCACGCCGACCGCACCCCAAGCCCCCGTCCGCGCCCCGCCCCGTGGACACCTGCTCTGCAGCGCCTCGGCCACGAAGTCCTTCCCGGACTTCCTCTTCCCGCTGAACAGCAGCACCAGGCGCGGGGCGCCTCCCCGCGGGGCCATGCGGCCGCCCCCGCCCCGCCGCGCTCTCCGCTCCCCCCGCCCCGCACGCCGGGCGCTGCTCCTGCGCAGCCGCGGAGAGGCCTGTCCGCGCGCAAGGCCCCCGCCGCCGAAACACGGAGGGAGGGCGTGGCTCCCAGGGCGGCCGTCCCCGAAATTCGCTCCCCCACAGAGCTCACTTGGAACAGCCCGGCCCCGCCCAGAGCCTGACGTCACGCGGACACAACCATTCTCCTCGTAGGGGGCGAGGCCTCTAAATCCCCCGAGGGGAGCGCCACGTCGCCTGCCACACGGCCCTGCAAACACTGCGAGAAACGACCGAACGAGATCGCGCTGCAGAGGCCTGCGGGCCCGCAACGCATGCGCGCCACCCAGTCTGTCTGTCCCCGCAGCCAACGTGGGTCCTCCCGGAAGCCACCCGCGGCTGAGGCGCCGGGGGCGGGCGCGTGACGTCACGCGGGGCGGGGCGGGGCGGGGCGGGCTTGGCGGCGGCGCCCCCTCTGTTCCGCCTGGAAGCGCGGGGACCGCCGCGAAGCGCTGACCCCTCGGGCGTGGGCTCTGGGGCGGGGAGGCCAGCCCGGGACGCGACGGCCTGGCCCTCTGCGGAGTCCAGCGCCCAGTCGCGGGCTGCGACGGTGTGTCCCCCCCCGAAGGCCCGCCGCGGCGACAGCCGGTCCCAGAGCAGTGAGCGCCGTGGCCGTCAGCCGGGCGCGCGGCCCGCAGCGCGGAGCTCGTCAGAGCGGAGCCCGGAGCCCGTTCCTGAAACCCAGTCACTCGAGGAGGAGCGGGAGGGGCCCCGGGCCGGGAAACGCGGCGCTGGAGCGAGGAAGGAATGGCCACGGGTTAGCTGCAGAAAGGACAGGCTCCAGGAAGGCCTTCTTCTTTTTTTTTTTTTTTAATGTTTTATTTATTTTTGAGAGAGAGAGAGAGAGAGACAGCGTGAGCAGGGGAGGGTCAGAGAGAGAGGGAGTCACAGACTCTGAAACAGGCTCCAGGCTCTGAGCTGTCAGCACGGAGTCCGACGCCGGGCTCGAACCCACAAACTGTGAGATCATGACCTGAGCCGAAGTCGGACGCTCAACCGACTGAGCCCCCCAGGCGCCCCAGGAAGGCCTTCTTTTTGAAGCAACTGTGAGATCACGCGCTTATCAGTGCACTTAGAAGGCAGCACCGAGGGGGGCTTTAATCCCAGCCCGGACACCTCTCAGGTCACCCTGGTTCATCACTGGCCACTCATAGGGTTGGGGTGAGAAGGAAATGAGAAAAATACAGTGTAGAATGAAAACCCTTCGCACGTTCTCACGCACCATCCCGACGTGGTGGTGTTATTTATGCCGAGCACGTTGTGGTTTTGGAATTCAGCCCAGGATCAGCTCTTCCAGCCCACCTCCGCCGAAGGCTCAGATCCCACCTCTTCTGCCCGTAGAAAGGACTCAGAACTGCCCCCACTTTCTCCCTTCACCTGTCTCAGACCCCGCTCCTGCCTTTCCGGTCCCCGCTGGAATTCCCAACTGATGATCAGAATATCCTAACGTCTTCGAAAAACTCTCCTGCTCCCTGCCCCAGCTGCGTCCCCGTCCCCTGCTGCCCTCTCAAATAGGGTCTTATCGCCACCCGCCCAGCCCGCAGATCTCAGCAGAGGCCATCTGTGGCCTCCTTCCTTCCCATTTCAGCTTCCCGACCT